CCCAAGGAACGTGCAGCATGGACAGAAATTTCAGGGTGTTCAAGACTTTCTTCTTCCCAGTCTGGAATGCAGACTGCATCGCCAAGCTTGAATCTGCTCCTATTGAGTGTTGTGCAATGGGGAAGTCTGCAAGAGAGCCTGAAGTCCTTGTATAACTGCTCTAATAGAGACAAAACCCCAGACTGAAACAAAGGCACTGGTGCTTCTGTTTCACAGAATCTTTTTCCATTTTCTATTCACTGAGTAACATATCTAATTCTTCTAGAAAATTTTCTTCTGGTCAAGTTGGCTGAAATTATGAAACCATGGTTTTCTTGATTTAAAGCTGTGAGCATTACTTTGATTAATTTGTGCAAGTGAGTTCCTGCCCTTGATGAAAGACATTATTTGAAGCCGATGGAAGTTCTGGCTGCCTTAAGGATTAAGGGTTAAGGCCCTACATTTGTACTGTTGTACGCCACTGTATGACCTAAATGAGATTAGAATAATAAATCCTGATTTATTATGAGGGCTTTATTTAGACGTGTTTTGAGTATGAGGTCTGTCTCAGGATTAATAGTGAAATCAAACATGCCCAGGCACAGAGAAAGCCCAACAATGAAAGGACAATTTTTCCCTTGAGAAAACTGGTTCCCAGCCCTCTGTTTGGCTTTTGCTGGAGTTGCTAAATGTTGAATGGCACAGAGATGCTGGATCCCAAAGATGATGACGTAGTCCATGACTTGGAGTTGAGCCCAAACTAAGTGAAGGATGGAAGTATCCCATCAGCAGTTTTTTCCAAGGCTAAGTACTCATGCTCTGCAGTGCAATAGCACTTTAAAAGCTTCAAACATAAGGTTTTCAGCATCCAAAGACAAATGAGAAATTACAGTTTCAGGATTTACTGGTTAATTCATCCATCACATCGAGCAGGCGCTACTTTAGGTGCTTGCCCTATAGTTAAATCAGATCCCTGAACATGTTCCAAGAGAAAGTCTGTTCTGTTCATCATCCTGACCACCATCTCTCATCAGCAAATGTGACACCTGGTCATGTAATGCACCAAATTGCAATGCCTCAGTATTAGATGTGGAAGGTGTGTGCTTACAACACAGAGTTAGATTTCTCTGTTCTTATAGCCACTTTCCTAAAGGTTTCAGAGGAATTTACCTTCCCCAAAAAAATTATTTAAATTGAAATGAGTGGATTACAAGGATGTGAGCTGGTATTTCTGCAGGATGCAAAATGAAGAAAGAGGAGGTGTAAGTGTTGTGACAAATTTGGGTGAATTATATCATCATGAATTCCACAGCATCTCTTATCTTTTGTCTAATTCAGAGTCTTAATACTCCCACTCTCCACCAGATAGTTGACAGATCTTGTTCAACAGCTGATTTCTGTCCCACTTGTTTTTTTGAGTAGAAATAGCAAGAACCATTTCCTTCAAAATGTTGTTGAGATTTGTAATTGTAGGCCTCGTGGAGTGCGGAGCAAAAGAAAATGTTGAACCAGAATACCATTTTCTTTCTCTTCTTTTTCTTTGGTTTGACAAGAGGCCTGCTGATCTGGTAGCCTTTCCTGCTGTGTCTCAGTTGGTGTAGAACTGGATGGAACGTCTTCTCACAATTTTTCAGATAAATTTAGGGAAAAACAACTTTTGAAGGAGGGTAGACTTTAAGGTCCAGTTATGACACTTTACTCAGTACTTGAGATTTAAACCATGAGAGACAGGTATTTGTAAGAAACACAATCAAAGAAATCATGAAACCTTTCAAAAATGAAAAACCTGCCAGGGTAACTGAGGACAAACTCTCTGGTGTACGACAGGATGAAGTCAAAGGCAAAGATGGTTCAGCATCTAATGAAATCTTTAATTACTTTGTTTTCTTCACTTCCTAGAGGTGCCCTTTTCTGCAAAATCTTTTCTAGAAGACTTTTTGAACTAGATTCTAGTGAGAGTCATTAGGTGCAGAGTGCTTTAGCACACCGTGACTTGCTAACAAGTCTTGCCAGCAGATTCTGTAACTGCAAATAACATCAAAGATGGGAACTCTAGACCTCTCTGCTCAGAAGCAGGGCAGCAGTTCAACTTGCAGAACCCAGATACTTTGTTATCTACTTTAGTTGGTTTGAAGTCAAATAGCAATGAGACAGCCTAGCTAAGCAACTTTCTGAACCCTCGAGCTCCACTCAATTTTACTCCTTTGGACAATGACCTTTAGAAAGAAAACATAACACAAACAGATGTCATGGAATTGCCCAACATCCCTAGACAGCAGCAAGAGTGTGTTGAAGACCAAGTAGTGGCTGAATTTCTTAAGTACTGGGAAGCTGCACAGGAAGTTTGGTCTATTAAGAAGTTTCTTGTAATGCTGCAACACAGACCTTCCCAATCAACCTTTGCCCACCTGCTGGCAAGGATACCTGTCTATAATGCAGTCTGTGCCACCATGGTTCTTTGCTGTCCCTTGGCAACACCTGACCAAGGGAGCAGCAGCTTTCTTTGGCTGTTTAGAACGTGCTGCTCATGAAGTGGTAGTTGCCAATCATATCCACAGGGCCACTAAGGGAAACCAGCAGTTTGTTGACTGGAAATGGATTCCTGCTTCTTTGTACACTTTATAGTATACTTCAGGCGTGTAACAGTCTTAAAATCCTGGTGGTTTTGCAGATGGTATGTCATGGAGCCTTTACCCTCATTTAGCAGGTTAAAGTCTTATAGCACAAGCTGTGAAGAGTTGTTATAGGTCACTGATAAAAAGCAATAGAGTGCTTATGGCCACCGTGGGTTAACGTTAGCCACAAGCATAATCAGAAGGTTTGTGCTGAGGGCAGAGAGGTGGCGTGTAACACACTGAATTTATTATCACTGTACTCTGGCCTCTAGATAGTGCGTGTGTGCACCGGGGTTGTGGAGGTCGAGGGATGTCTGGGACAGGCCTATTAGTAGAACTGGGAAAGACTGGGAAGAGGTTTTCCTTGTTTGTTAGAAGGAAGTATGTACCAGTCCAGGGGAGGTGTTTTCCTGATCTGAGAGACGGAGCCTTCCGTAGTATGTATTGAAATATATCTTGCTGTATCTTTTCTATTTGCTATGCATATTGTCTAAACTGCTGTCCAGGCCCTTTATCTTCCCCATATTTGCCTGATGAACGTGATGGCCTGAGTACAGACAGCTTCTCTGACAAACTTGCTTCAGTAACTGCTCAGCTTTCCACGTTCTACCCTAGTATTGAGTCAATTTTACTTTTTTTTTGGTTTTTTTCCTCCAGGAAATACACAGAGTCTAGGAGCAGGTACTAATTTCAACCAAAGTCCAGGTTTATTCATGCTGAAGCCATAAAATTCTCTTTCTGTGCAATCTATACCATACTTCTGTACATGTACATGATTTTTAGTGCTTGGACATTTCTCATCCTCTCTCCTCTTTCCCATCATCCACTGTGTTCTTTGTGTTTCTCTATGCAGTCAAATCAACACAGCCATTTGGTGCTGTGTATCACCCTCCTTCTGTAAGCTGTTTATCCAGGGTTTCCAAAGCTGACTGCTCTTAGTAAGGGTCTTGAAATAGTTTCTAGACACCTTGGTGGAAGTGATCTGACGTGCAGAAGTACTGAGAACCCACAGATCCCTTTTCAGGTAATGAGACGTGAGTTTGCTTAGCACCTTTACAATCAAACTACTTATACTTCAGTGCCTGGACATGGATTTTGGAACACATCTGTAAGCTTTCAGGGTGGGTATTTTTAGGGCAGGATGGACTTAGAGACTTAAGAGATCTTTGTAAAGAACTATCCAAACCCACATATGCTGTATTTATATTAATAAACACAATTATAATAATTGTCCTTTTCAACAAAACAGTAGTCCTGAACTCCTCTTGGGGTGAGGCATTAATAATGGAAATCATTATTTTAGTTAGTACTCAGTGTCAGTATCATAATCTGCACACCCTGAACACTGTGTTGGTTCACTACATGGAATCTTTCACTAAAAGAGTCTTTTTTTCACAGCTTACCAGATGTGGGGTCCTGCCCAGGGATTATTCCAGTTAACAAACACTTCTCATAATCAGCTTACTATAAATGACAGAAGAACAGCATGGCAGTGTTCCAGCCATAACCAAGGTATCTTTTAAAAACCTTGTTATTTGATGGTATATGACGCTACACATGACCTAGAGATATACGAAGCATTTCCACCACGTTTCAAATGTCTAAACCACTCAGTTTCAGTTCTCACTTCTCACCCCCATGAGTCAAACCCATCAGCCTGCCATAGCACCTATTAATTTACAGATTTAATCCCAAGGGCACATCTGCACACTTGTGAGAAGGCGTGTCTGGTCAGCTGTTGCCGCAGAGATGGCACAAATAGACAAGAAGAAGAAAAGAACCTGTAGCTGCATGTACACTCTGGTGAATTTGGGTATTTAGGGGCTATTATTTGTTCCTGTATACGTTGCATTTGGAAGCTTTGATGTGCCTTATCTCCCATTCTAACAAAATGTCCTACATTAGAGGAAAAAAGAAAATACTGAATGTGTGAGATTTGCTGAGCAATCTGTGTATTTCCTTATAAACACAAAAGTTTCTGCAATGCAGAGTTAAACTGTTGCAGCTTATTATGGTGGTTAGAATTTCACGGATTTCATTACTTTACGGTGCTTGAAATGATTCCTAGCGAAACGCAGCTAAATAAAGCGCTTGCTAAATGGGAAACGAGACAAAAAAATCCTGCAAAGATACACTGTGGCTGCCACTGGGGAAATGTCAGGTACTCGCTTCTTGTAGAAAATAGAACATTACTTAACTAATTTAAAATCCAGAAAATTTTCCTTAGGAAAAATAACCAGCAGTAAGGCATCCAGGGGCTGGTGGGTTTCTGTTTCTTGTGGATGGTAAAGATCTGAGCACAAACATCAGCAAAGGGCAGCCTTCTGAGCCGTTCCCTGCCAATTGCTGACAAAGGCAGTCCTAATGAATCATTCTGAATTGTGATCATGTGCTACCAACCAGCCCACAGTGAGCTGCCAAAGAGGAAGTGCAGCTTGTTTTCTTTCATTTTCTTGATTCCTATGCTGTAGGAAGATGAAAGGAGAAGGAGGAGGAGGAGGCAACAGCGGCAGCCAAACTTAATAAATAATTCTGACGATTCCTGATATCAAATGGAGGTCCCTGAGTGGGACCCACAGAAAAATGACACCCTCCCGCCGACCCTGACGCCAGCTGTCCCTCCGTATGTGAAGTTGGGCCTGACCATTGTATATACTGTTTTTTATTCACTGCTTTTTGTGTTCATCTACGTCCAGCTCTGGCTGGTCCTTCACTACCGGCACAAGAGGTTCAGTTACCAAACTGTCTTTCTGTTTCTGTGCTTGTTTTGGGCCTCACTTAGGACTGTGCTCTTTTCGTTTTACTTCAAAGACTTTGTCACAGCAAATTCTCTCAGCCCCTTCATCTTCTGGCTTCTCTATTGCTTCCCAGTCTGCCTCCAGTTTTTCACCCTGACCCTGATGAATCTTTACTTCACACAGGTAAGCAACAGATATTTGGTTGATTAAATCTGACAGAATGATAAAGCATTATTTTGTAAGAATCAGAAGGAAAATGTAGTTTACAATTGTACCTTGGCAATAAAGAAAGCAAATTTCAGTTATTTAGTTGGCAGTTTTAACTTTTGGACTGTATGCAAGTGAACAGTGTTACAATTAAACCGGAGCCTGAAGTGATCATTTCAGGAATGGCAAATAATATATATATACTGTCTATTATATGGGTGTCATTTAATTTAAAGATTGGGGGAAAAAAAAGGTATAGGAGAGCTTGAAAGCTGGACTCCCAAAATGCCATTCTATTATTATTCTTTATTGCTGTTGCTGTTGTAATTAGACTTCATAAACCTCCTGGCTTGGCAGACCTGATCTCTCTGTGCAGTCGGAATTGTGATTTGTAATTTTGCTGGCAAGCCCCTACCCCAGTTTTTCATAAGCTGGCTAATTTGTTTCTGAGTGAGATTTCTATTCTGTGTATCACAATCAAAACTGTTGATCAAGTCCTGTTGCAGACCCAAATTTCTGTAACGATCTGTATTACAAAGAGAAGTGACCCCAGTGAGTGCTAGGGGCTGTAGAGAGATACATGCTCTATTTCAGGGATGCTGAGGTGAAAAAGTCAGTCAGCTGTGTAGTGGGGTAGAGGAAATAGCGTCTCCATTTCAGAAAGAGGTCCTGAGAGTGTATCTGTGCTACAGGCAGCTAAGAAGCCAGATGAGTTGGGCTGCACAGTGCTCCAGGTTGCTGCAGTCAGACTTGCCTGGAAGTATTTATGGTGAGCTTGGGTCTCTTGGTGCTGGGCTGCAGGATGGGACATCGGCATGCTGAGGCAAAGACAGGCTGCCGGGCTTGCCTAAGATCTCACAGGAAGCCTGCGGGGGGCAGGGACTGGTTTCTCTGTCTCCTCAGTCCCACTATGGAGCCTAGAGCAGGAACCCAGGCCTGAACTGCAGTGACCCTTGCCAAAGTCTGCTTTCCCAGTGCAGGGGTAGCTGGCTAGGAGAGCACCAGCCAGCCCTGGAGCACCCCTGGCAGTGCTCAGGATGCTTTGGGTGTTGCTGTGTGCCCCGCTTGGAACCAGCTCAGTGCCTGGGTCTGGGTGCTTCTGTAGTGCCTATGGTCTTTACCTGTGCTCCCTAGAGATTCCAGACTTGTCAATTCTGAACAGCCTGGCTGGAGAGGTCAGGCTGCCTGTGAGAGCTGCCATCCCAGAGCTGAAAAAGCAGTAATGATAAGCATGACAGCTGTAAGAGGATCACTCGAGTTGTAGAGGGTATTAAATACTTAGAACCACATACACAGCTTTGTGCTTAGGTTTTCTTTTCTGGATTCAGTGTCTGGAACACCTGCTAACTCACCCAGCTCCATTCCTTGGGACTTGAGATATATTAAGGTATTACAGGAACCTTTCATCTACAAGCTACTCAAACCCAGCTCAGGCATGTGGTGACCTATGCTTTATCCCATAGCTGTTGTGAGAGTCATTTGACAATGGTGCAGTTCCCCAGGGACAAACATCCATCACTGCACGCTCCACCCCCATCGCAGCGGCTGGGTCCAAGTCGTAGCCCTAAGTCAGCTTCTTCCCTCAGACACAGGCACGTAGACTGCCGTGGAAGCCCAGAGGCAGAATGCAGCATCCTGGCTCTCTGCCAAGAGGAGCCAAGGCTGTCATGACCACAGAGGGGGCACAGCACTCTGCCCTCCGTGCATTAGAGTGCCAGCACTCGAGGGCTTAGCACTGTGGGGAACCGATTCCTTTCATCTAGGGAAGGTCTGCAAAGAGAGCACACTGAATGTGCACGTATGTCCTTTTAACTTATTTTTGGCATTGATGTCTGATATCATTCAGGAAGTACAAGTCACTAGCTGGAAACAGAAAAAAATGTTAAGGCTATTGGTTCTGCCTTTCAGACAATTTCTGCTTTGTCATCATGAGTCCTTAAGATATTTCTCTGAGCCCCTCTGTGAAAGAGTGCAAGAGTTACCTGTCTTGAAGAGCTGTTGTGAGGCTTTTGAAACAATATTTGCAAGGGACTTTCAGAGTTTGTGATGGGCGTCATAATCTTTATGGTTCATGGGCCACTGTAGGCAGGCATGTTGTTAGTATTGCTGCTTGCTGTAGAGCTGGTTGCTCCCAGCAAAATCTCATCTCAAATATCACCCTGGCCAAACAAAGCCTGGAGAAATACAAGCACAGCCATTGTACGAATATAATGCAAGACACAGAATAAGTGCACATATTTTTAATTCACTCTTATTAATTCTTTACTTCTAACCATTAGAAGGTGGTTTGGCTTGAAATTCAGCATCTCCTTGAGACTGTATATTTAATGTGCATCTGGCTTTCCACAGTAGGCAAGCAAGAACTAGTGTGAAAGGGGTGGGGAGAGAGAATTTTGTTTTCAGTAATGGCTTATATCTTCACAGGCCTGTTCAGAAATACCTTTTATCCTTTTTTTCTCTGGAAGGCAGGCAAGAAGGGTCTGCAGCTGTGTCTTATTGCATGAAAACCAGGCTATTTACTGGTGCCTAGCTAGAGGGAAAGAAGTGGTGTATGTATAGTATAAGGACAGAGGACTGGAAGAAACCTTATGGGTCTCTGGGATTTGCAAGTGTTTATTATTATCTGCTGTACAGCACCCACCATTTCTAAATGTTGCACTTCCAGGAAAACTTTTAGACACAGATGTGAGAAGAAAACGTGATTCAAAAAATACTGCAAATCCTCCTGGCCAAACAAAAAAAAACCCAACTCATTTCACAAGTGCCTGAAGGCATTTTTCAGAATAATAAGCACCTTTGAACTTGACAGAAAGTTAGCCACAACTATTCTCTTTTTAATAGCTATCCCAAAGCAATGGGGATGCAAATTTCAACTGTATTTTATGTGTAGAAAGACAAATAGGCCATGATCACACAGGCACAGAAGGGGTTGTTCCCAGTCTTGAGCATCACCATCAACAGATACAAGCAGAAGGAGCCGTAATGTGTCGGGGCAGGTTGCTAAAGCAGTGGACCTGTGGATGGAAGGGGGGGTTACAGTCAAAATAGTTTTGACTCAGAACAAGGAATCTTTGGATTAAAAGCCAAGTTCCATTACTACAGTCTTGATGACTTAGGGCAGAATAGAAAGGGTGCTGCAGATAAGGGTTGTATAGTTTTAGCTCCTCTCAGAAATCCCATACTGGAGAAAATCCATGTGATTTTTAATGAGAGAGCTGAATTTATTAGACTTTATTAATCCTGTGTCTGTATCCATTCTCTTCTAAAAGAAAAAAAAAATAATGTGATGTACCCCCTCAGGATAAGCCTCTGTCTACTTAGAAATCATCCAAATAAGTCTCAAGTGAAGATGAAATCCAGTGGCACTTCAGTAAAACCATAGTGCAGCACCAGCAAATCACTGCATCGTACAGAGCCAGAGCAGCTCCCTGATCCTGACCCACCAGACAGGCAGCTGAGGTGTGCATTTCCACCTACAGAGACCAAACAGCCCATAGATACATTTGCCTCACACCTGCAGCTCCCATGGGTTTATCTTGCTGCTTAATAAAGCAAAGACTGCAAATCAGCAAATAACATATTTTTTCCACTTCAAGTGACTCCAAACAGTGAGGATCCCAGGACTCAGGAGCTCTTTCATTTATGCCCTGCCTACCCAAATCTTTTCTGCCCTTGACATGAGGAGACTGAGATGAGTCCTTGGGCTTTACAGTCAGTGCTGCGTGCAAAAGTGTAAAGAGGCTCTGGGAAAAAAAATAAGAAGTTGCCTTTTTTGGTGTGTGTGAGGGGTGGGCAGAGAAGGGCTTGCTTCACTTTGCCCTGTTTGCTCAGCCTTTACATATCCCTGGGGAACAGGATACAAACGAAGCAGGAGGGTGGCTAGGGTGGAGGGTTACAGGCTCAAAAAAACAAGGTCGGGGCCAAAGACCGTGAGCCTTAAGGGATGCTGGAAATCCCAGGCCTCCTCTGTGGCCAGGCACAGCAAACTATTTGGTGGGCTGTAGGTTTAATCATCAGGCTGGAAACTTCTCCAGGACCCAGGGAATCTGGTGCTGTTCTGAATAAAGAACTGTGAAGCTGTATGGGTGGAGAAGGGCTGGCAGGCAGATTTACCTCTCCTTCCTCCTCCCTAACCATCTTCCCTTTTTTCTGGCATCCAGACTGAGAAGCTTACTCTGCCTCCCAGGCAGGGCTGATAGAATCAGGGAATTTTAAATGAAGAGCAATTGTACAGAGTAAGGCAGTTTGGAGGGGAGCCGGCCATGCTGGAAGTGCCTGGCAGGGTGGGGTAGAACCAGCACAAGGCTTTCGGAGAGGTTACCTGTGTCTCAGTGGAACAGGGGTACATGTTAGCTCTGGGAGGAAAATGAAGAGAACTTCTCATCCTCTAATTACTAGGGATAGCTTTTCAAAAGTGCTACCAGCAGTGAGAGAACAGAGAGGGCTTTTTATTTCAGATAAATATTTATTTTTTAGTAGGAATGAATGCACCATGTATTATAAATCTTATTAACAATTTAAAGCATGCTTTACATGTACATAGAAGTACACGATAGTAAAGCATAAGGAAATATGTTTGGTGTAAAATGTTGCCCTCAGTATTGGATCTATACAAGACAAATTGCAACTGCAAACTGGCTGGCTGTCGGCACCTAACATGAAGAATGAGGTCATTTGACTTAGAAAATAATTTGATAGGAAAGCTACTCATGGAGTTTACTGTGGCTGCCAGCCCTCCAATGGTCCCTGTCCTTTCAGTACTATTTTTACCAATTTACACAAGGCTGAGTATGGTAGTGAGTCACGTTGCCATGTCTGTAGGCCTTAGAAACCATGGAGAGTTTAGAGAGTAGAAGGAAAACTTGCATATTTTGGGGAATCTGATCCAAATGAAAGATTGAACATGGAAGAAAGAGAGAAAGAGGAAGGTGAGCCTGGGACTGGAACATACATAAGCAGAGGAAAGATGTATGTGCTGATGGCTCTGGGCCTGCATGGGGTTGTGGTATATTTTCAGGGTGCAAAGAGAAGTTTGCATGGAGCGTGACAGGAAGAGAGGGGCCGTGGTGAAAGGAACTGGGAAGGAAAAGTACATGCTCTACTCCTTGCAGAGTTTTTTAAATAAGAGCTTGTAAATAAAGCTGAATTTCATTCCTGTGCAGAGGGCCAGCTTGAGACATATACAATCATTTAACACATACCTGAGGCTTTTTGGTGAACTGGACTATGGGTCCTGTAGAAGTGAACTGATCAGCTAGCACTAGAGGTACACAGGAGGATTTGTGCCAGCTGTCACGTCAGTTCAGCTAAAGCAGAGCATGAACTGAAAATGGCTGAACCCAGATTTTCTTTTTCTTTAGCTCTGGGAATATGTGAGTTGGCTTTGACACCTGTTTCATTAATACAGGTCCAGAATGGCTCCTGATTTAACTTTCATAACTGTAGGTGGAACCCCCCCTTAAGCTATGGCAGCCTAGTCCTGTCTGCCTGCTCTGCTGCCCAGCAGCTCTGTAGAGTTCTCTGCAGCTAGTCTCTTGACAGACTCCTATGCCATTGTCACTGCTCCTCTGCTGGGACAGAGTAAACTGTCTTTAAGGTCAGCTGTTTACATCAGTTCCTGCAACAGGAATTTTCCCTGGCTCTATGAAAGGCTTTTTGGAGTCCTTTTGTACTCCTGCAGTTTTGTACGCCAGACGTATACCTCAGGGGAATGGAGAAGGGAGTGTGAGAATCTCATCTGAGGTTTCCAGTCCTTTGACTAAAACAAGGAATCAAAACAGGCTATTTCTCCTTTAAAGAACAGGCAAAAGGGGAAATACTTTTAAGAAGAAAAAGTAACCCTTTAGACATTAGAAAATTAGCGAAGAATTTCACTGAGCTTTCCGTGTTGCTGTTCATCTTGGGGCTCTCTGAAAGGTCTTTTTTCAAAGGCCTGCCTTCTGCTTACTGTTTAGTCTATTCTTAGGAATAGCCTGGCTTGCTCTGGTTTGCTGGAAGACTCGCTCAGATGACTCAGATATTGACTGGAAGCTTTCTCAACACTGTTGTGGGGAGGGGCCATTGAGCAACCAGCCTCTTGAGCTAAAAGCAAAAAGCTGCACCCACACATGGCAGGTATATTGAGATCAGTTTCTGACACCCTTACTCCCACTGAACAGCTCTTTATTCTGGCACAATCACTTTGCTTCCAGCGAGGCTACTCATGAACTAAGACCCCATTAAGAGTGTCCATGCCTTACAGTGTAGCTTTCATTCTATGTAGCATCCCCTTTTTATGCAGTGTTCATTTTAGTGACATGATAGGTGTGTGTGGATCCTTTTAAGGGAACCACATTCAGCAGCCTGTGAATTTTCTAGGTTTTGTGGACCCAGCCCAACTCATTGCCCACTTCATTGTGGGTGTTGCTTGTCTTATGTAGTTCTCTGCATAGGCTCTGAACACTTCTGCTGAGTGTTATTATTCCTGAAAGCTGTCAAAATTAACGGTACACTACGTGTGAGTAAGTGCTACTCAGAACAGGTAAGAACTGGGGAACGGCCCTAGAGACAAGTTCTGCTTGCTTAGTGTCACTGAGGTCAGGAATCTGTTCCCTCCCACTTGCCACAGTGTCTTCCAGAATAAGCAGAGTAGATAATAAGTCTAGTAACAAAGCATACAGGAAGTATTTTGAGCCCCATCTCCTGTCTAAAAACTGACAGCCCCTCTTTGTGCACCATGGAAACACAGAATATTCACAAGTCTCTTGTACCTCTCATTTGCAAGTAAGTAAAACAAAATAAAACTTCTTCCTGAACTCTTGTGAGAATTCATGATACAGGAATTTGGAGAATAAATAACAAAAAAAATCTTTTATAAGGGATACTGGTAGCAATGTTAACTATTTGAAAACAGTATTAGTGATTTGGAGACTATTTTTAGAGATTTTTCCCCCAACTTTTCAATTTTATTCTCAGCTATTATTTTTCTAGGGCCTGCTGAGAAGCTCAGTGTTCTCTGTTGGTTCAGCGAGTACTAAGCAGGCTCATGCGTCACAACAATAATTTCCATGTCAAGGCAGCTGTTTATGGTGAATAGGAGTTAAATGACAAATTGTTCCAGGAGTACTGGAACAACTGAAGCCTGATTTTCTCCAGACATACATCTCATGCTGGACTTTGAGCTGTTTCCATAACTGGGGCATTTCTTACAATACTTTGCTACATAGACTCTCTCATAGTGGGTGATGCATGGGATCATTATAGAGGGTTCTTCTCACAGAGGTCATATATAAGACGCATTTATAGGGTTCCTTACTTCTGTTTGGTCACTAATTTTTAGGAGCGTGGTAAAGGATCATGTCTCTGATGCTTCAAATGCTTTTCCATCAGTTCTCTGATCAGGGTATTTTAAGATCGATGAGGGGACAGATAAACAGGTTGACAGACAGACAAAGGCCTACACATACGTAGTGATCATGGAAGTCCTGTTTCTTTGGGAAAGCATGATAATCGTAGCAAATATTATTCCAGCTATACTAAAGGGCAAGCAAAACCAGGTGAGGTTAACTTCAAGAGAAAACAATTAGGAAACATTAGGAAGCAACCTGTGCTTCAGCGTTGGTTTAAATGAACATTTGTAAACTCAGTGTGTTTGGAAACTGTGTTAGCTTATGAAAAAACAGGGATGCTTCAGTGTAATTTTTAAAATACATAAGATATTAGACATGCTAGTATATTTTTGTATAATTTCTGGTGGTGGTTAAAAAACTTTAACTGAAATTACCTAGCTACATTGCAGAAAACATGTCAGTATTTTGCCTTTTCTTTTACAGCAAGGTAACTGCCAGGCCTGAGCTCTCTGTAAAACTACAAGCTGTTGTATAGTGAACAGCCAGCCGGTAGCAGCCAAATATGCCTCAGAGTAAGCCAGTGAGTTTGGTTCTCAGTGGCACCCTTTTGGCATGCAACATGTATGCAAATATATCCAGTTTCAGGCCTGGATACTATGGCCTGAATGTGAATAGAGCATCATGTGAACAGAGCATCTGACCCAATATGCTGGTATGAGCTGGTCTGTGTGAGAGACATGTACTGCTAGCTCATGTAAGAGCTAACAAATAATTACTTGCCTCTATGATTATACTGGCATTGATCCTCATCTGAATAGAGGTATAAATGACATTATTCCTGAGCCAGAAAAGTGAAAATAGTGGTGTAGACAATTTGTATGTAAGTACATGATGACCACCTGCTGAGTGGTTTTCGTACTTTGCTTAGAGCTTGCCTGCCATGGATAAGCAATAAATGCAAATCTGTTAGGTAAGAAACCTATCATTACATTTCTTGTGACCTGTGAGACAGGATTCCTGTGGATCACAGTGTCTTTCTTTACCTACATGTGTCACATGTTTGAAACAATATTTTTCTGTTTTGCAGGTCATTTTCAAAGCTAAGTCAAAATATTCCCCAGAGCTACTGAAATACAGGTAAGAACTATGCATTTAACGTGGTAAAGAAGAGTAGCCATGCTCCTTGAGAAACACCACATACCTCATACCTCGGTTATTCATATTTATATACCAGTGTTTTATGATGATGGTCCTGAGGTCAGCTTTTTCCTATGACATTTAGAAATCCATGTCATTTCCCAATACAAGCACCATTTTTAGGCATCCACGTATTTCAAAGGCAAATATTACAAATGCAAGCAGAAAACACTCACCCTGGTGATTTGTTTACAGGTTCTTAACATTTGTATTGTGAGGTGAATTCAGATCCAGTGCTTCAGTAAAGGTAGCAGACTGATGTATCTATTTTAACAGGAATGAATGGGACTAGGTATTAATCCATGAGGTCAGTGGTAATAAAAGACTCAAAAGTTTT